AAATTCTTCCTAAAACACCAGTGAAACATGAAGATGTAACCACACTTCCCCAATCAGGCAAAATAGTCTGAACCAGGTGCTGAGAATATGGGCAACGAAATCAACAGCTAAGAGGTATACTGTGATCTACTTATAAAACATTCCCCTTAAATAGAATGGAGTGTGCTTATGTCTTTCTTAAATTGGAGGGCAGTGGTAGTTTAGTGGCAGAACCACTGAATCAAGGAGAAGAAAGTTTGATTCCTACCCAGTGCTCCTCAAACACAGCTACCACTGCCTGTCAGTGGAGGCTTGCATGTGGCTATTGATGCTCACCATGTTTCAGCATAGCTTCTAGACTAGGACTAGGAAGAAAGGCATGGTGATCTATATTTTAAAAATCAGACAATGAAAACCCTATGGATCACAATGTTCTGATCCCGTTGTATGTAGATGTCTCAGTTATCTAGTGCTGCTATAACAGAAATACCATAAGTGGGTAGCTTTAACAAAGAGAAATTTATTCTCTCACAATCTAGGAAGCTGGAAGTCTGAATTCAGGTTGCCAGCCCCAGGGGAAGGCTTTCTCTCTCTGTCAGCTCTGAGGGAAGGTCCTTGTCATCAATCTTCCCCAGTTGAGGAGATTCTCAGTGCAGGGACCCCTAGTCCAAAGGATGCACTATTCTCCTGGCTCTTGTTTCTTAGTGGTATGAGTTCCCCCGTCTCTCTGCTTGCCTGTCTCTTTTTTATCTCAAAAGAGACTGACCCAAGACACAATTCAATCTTGTAGATTGAGTCCTGTGCCATTAACATAACAGCTGTTAATCCCATCTCATCAACATCATCACAGAGATAGGATTTACAACACATAAGAAAATCACATCAGATGACAAAATGGTGGACAGTCACATGATACAGGGAATCATGGCCCAGCCAAGTTGACAGATATTTTTGGGAGACACAATTTAATCCATGACAATGAGGTTGCCATGAGTCAGTATCCAACTCGTCGGCAGCTACCAATAAAATATCTTAAATTAATCTTACATAAATGTAAGATTTATGTCAATCAAAGTAAGTAAAAAGTTGATAGAAAATTTAACTCTTGAATAAAATAATAACAGATAATAACAGTTTCTTTTCTAATGATGAAAGTGTCATTGACTTTTTCCTTCAGTTTATAGTCTACACCCTGTGCTCTGACTTACTCAGCCATGCCTGAAAAGCATTTTTATAACTTAGTTGAGCTGACTCATGTAAGCAGGCAGTGTTGATGGGGGCATGAAACACAGCCCCTTTCCCAGAGTTCTGCCCACACCTTTGAGACACTCTTTAAAATCCCACTTGTCTGTGCTGTGTGTCATGCAGACACACTGGTCTGGGCTTTTTATTTTTTATTTTTAACAAATCTCAGGGAAGCCATTCTGCTGCTGAGCTAGCCTCACTCACACATTTCATTTGTCCATAATAATAAGAATGTCAATACCCTGGATTTATACAGAGCCTCTCATCCAAAGAGGTCAAAGCATTTTAATTTAATTGGATGTTCCCGTGGCTTTAAGAGCCTCTGGGTATATTTACAAATGTAATAATAAGGAATAGTCTGCCCCGGTTTACAATAAAATAGACAACAGAAAACAAGACCTGTACACACACTACTCCCGCCCTCCCTGCACAAACTCATTGAATGCCTGGTCACAGGGTTCAAGGTCCTATCTGAGCTGAGCTCTATGCATCTCTTCACCTTCTGACACCACTTCTTCTCCATGAACCCTTTGTTCTAGCCAAATTATTCCCTTGAACACAGAATGCATGCTTTCATTCTGCGCTTTATCCTGTCCAGAAGGCCCTTCTGTTCCTCTTCAGGTGTTTAAGTCTCTACTCTTCTTTCTCTGGTCCAGCTTAATCAAATCCCAGCTATTCAATGAAGCAATAGCTACACAATGGATTCAAACATACCAGTGATCATGATGATGGCTCAGGACCTGGCAAAGTTTTGTTACACATAAGGTCACCATGAGTTTCGACCCAACGGCAACTAACAACAACAATCCCATCCATAAAGACTTCTGTCGTCATCCTAGCCATCATTAATAAGTTCCCATTGAAACGTCTTCAGCATTTATGCTCTTCCTTCTTTGGGCATTGAGCAGCTGGTGTGGCTTATGGGCATTTCTACTTTTCTTTTGATTCTCTGAATAGCGTGCCAGCCCCTCCACACAGAGAAATCTATAATTAATCTCTTAGCTCTTCATAAACTTTAGTTGGTTCCAAGTAATTTGGTGAGTTTGGAGGATCTGTGCTGAAGGCTGAAGGTTGTAAATGGGCAGACCTACAAAACGTTCCCCTGATCCCCTCCTCCCACTGTTTGCAGGCCAGTGAAAGATTGGAGTTAGTTTAGAAGGTCACCTGGATTATTAGAAGCAACATTAAAAGGTATGTCTGTCACGTGTCATGTGACAATGAAAGGTATAATGGGCAAGTGTTTCCTGGGATAGGAAACGGAACTAAGAAACAAAAACAAAGAGTTTATTGAATGAAGATTTAACGTGGGTCTGTTGATTTAATTATCACCTAATTGCACTTGCAGCTTGTGATGATAGGACATCATTTTTTATTGTTGTTTAATTCTTGCTTTTTTAAAAACGTAATTTTGTTTATTTGTCTACAAAAGCAATACGCATCATAGAAAATCTGAAAAACACAGAAAATCATAAAGAAAAGTGAAAAAATAGTATTGCTGCTCAAAAATAACTTTTTAATGCCCACTGAGATGCATTTTAAACAAAATCAGTACCATACCCTAGTAATAATGATGCTGATCTGTATAACTCACTTATTCTCACAGTAACTAAGTGAAATACTATTATCACCTTCTTTACAGATAAGGAAGCTGAGGCACAGAAAGGGTGAGTAACTTGCCTAAATTAGCCTAATAAGTATGCGGAGAGCTGAGGCTGAATCTAGGCAGTCCTACTTTACAGCCTGCATTATTTTTTTTATTGTAGTAAGATACATGTAACATAAAAGTTACCATTTTAACTATTTTAAAGTGCACAGTTCAGTGCCTCATAGGATGTTCACAAAGTTGTGCAGCCATCACCACTATCTGGTTCCAGAACATTCTTGTCACTTCCAAAGGAAACCCCACGTTCAGTAAGCGGTCACTCCCCGTTTCATTCCCATCTCCCCTCAACCACTAAACTATTTCATGGCTCTATGGATTTGTCTGTTCTAGATACTTCATATAGATGGAACCAGATAATATGTGGCCTTTTGTGTCTGGCTTCTTTCACTCGGCATAATGTTTTCAAGTTCATCCACGCTGTAGCACGTGTCAGTCCTTTATTCCTTCTACGGTTAAATAACAGTCCATTGTATGGTCCACGTTGTAGCACGCATCAGTACTTTATTCCTTCTATGGTTAAATAACATTCCATTGTATATATATACCACATTTTTTAAATCCATTATAGGATTTTTGGGCTGTTTCTACCTTTTGGCTATTGTGAATAGTGGTTCTTGCAGTGTTCATGGGCAACTGTTTATTTGAACAGTTGTTTTCAATTCTTCTGACTGTAAACCCAGGAGTCAAATTGTTGGGTCATATGGTAATTCTAGGAGTCTCTTGGTGGCACAAACAGTTAAATGCCCACTACTAGCCAAACCCACCAATAGATGCCTCAGAAGATAGGCCTAGCGATCTGTTTCATAACCGCTAAACTTTTCCACAGCCAATGCCCCATTTTACATTATTACCAGCAATGTAGGAGGTTCCAATTTCTCCTCATCATCACCAGCACTTGTTATTTTGTTTTTATTTTCTTTTATTTGTATTATAGTCATTTGAGTGGGTATGAAGTAGTATCTCATTGTGGTTTTGATTTGCATTTCCCTGATGATTCTGTATATATACTTTGCTCTTGGTTTTTGTTTATTTTGCCTTCTGAGTTAGTTACTAAGCCTGAAATATAATTTACTAGTAAAAATAGTAGTAAAGGACAAATGTGCATTTTACTACTTGTATTTCATTAAGCTTGAGAAGAAAAGGAATCTGCAATCTGGTCAGTTTTATTTCTCAGTTATGTTGACTTTTGTTAATCAATTATTCCTTTGAATGCTCCTGAGTATGATTTTGGTGGTGCAGTAGTTAAGAGCTATGGCTGCTAAATCTAAAAGTCTGAAGCTGAAGTTGTAATTCACCAGCCCATCCGTGGAAACCCTACGGGGCAGTTCTACTTTGTGCTATAGGGTTGCTATGAGTCAGAATCCACTAGATGGCAACGGGTGTTTTTGTTTTTTTTTTTTTTGGTTTTGGTGGCACAGTGGTTAAGAGCTCGGCTGCTAACCAAAAGGTCGGCAGTTCGAATCCACTAGCTGCTCCTTGAAAACACTGTGGTGTCCTATAGGGTCGCTAAGAGTGCGAATCGACTGGACAGCAACGTTTGTGTGTGTGTGTGCTTGGAAATATAGGGACATTGGAAAAAACCAAACTCACAGTAAATCAAATGTAAACAGGAACATTTAGTTTTAGAGAATACCAAAGAAAAGGTTTCTGTGTCTAATTCATTTTCGCAATTTATTGGATTAAACATTTATTATTATCCCTCGTGTTTAAAATAATTGCCAAGGAAACAAACGTTGCACATAGGCATCAGGCATAGACCCCTCCCCCCTATACACAACTTGGAGTCGCCAGATAAATTTGATTAACCACCTCATTATATTCTAAAAACAAGCAAACTTAAAACAAACTTAAGGTCGGAATAAATGTAAGTGAAGGCACTCCCTGAACGACTCACGCAGATTACCATCGGTTTCTTGCTCCTAGGAACCGCGGCAGGAAAACTACAATTCCCAGAGTGCTTAGAGAGAACACGCGCATCGCGGCCTCGAAAACTGCCGCCTCACTCCAGCGATTGGATGCTCCAGTTCCGGGCTTCGGGATTTCTCTTATCCCATTGGCGAAGACTCCGGCGGGGTCAACCTCTGAGTTTAAGAGCGCTGTGGTCTCTTCCAGCTCACCGGCCTTCCCCCCTCAAGATGGCGGCAGAAGCAGCTGGTGGGAAATACAGAAGCACTGTCAGCAAAAGCAAAGACCCCTCGGGGCTGCTCATCTCTGTGATCAGGTGAGGGAGGCAGGAAGCAGGGTCAGGGGACAGGGGTTTGGGGCCCGACCTTGGCTTTGGAAGGGAGAGGGGTTGTCTGAGTGCACCCTGCCGACCCTCCCCTTCCCGCCCTGTCCCCCCACCTCCGGGCCCCTCCCACGGGGGGTCTCCTTGTCTCTGGGGTTGGACTGGAGGGAGGAGCCCCTCCCACAGTCTTTGCTTTAGAGACGGAGCACTTTTTATGGGCAAAGGCCTTGGTTAGGGTCCCCAGGCCTTAAAAGGCCTCTGTGCGCTTGGTAGAGAAAACCAGGTGAAGCTGTGTTCATTCATCGTGCAGCGTTTATTGATGGATCGCTTGTAGCAGCGCTCACGGGGGAAGGCGCCATGCTTCCTGGGCTTCTGGGTGTAAGGCCCCGCCGCCCGGAGACTCCTGTCAGAGTTGTTCTCACCCACACCTTGGACACTTTCAACCACCTGTGAGTGGTCACAGCCTCCAATACAAGAACTTGAGCTGGTGGAAGGGCTCTGGGTTTGAAGGCCCGCATCCATTTTCAGTTTTTGTCCTGCCTATTCCTGCCTTCCTATCCTGGTTTAGTTCTTAAAAACAGAACAAAACTGAATTTCAAGTTACCCTACGTGCATTTTATTTTCCCAGAATATGTATAGTGAAAATGGGGGATCTTTTAGGGGCTCTTCTTTTTTTTTTTTTAGGTGAAATATCTCAATAAATTGGGGGAGGGGCTCTTCAAGTACCACTGAGTATGACACACGGAATGATTTAAAAAACAACCTGAATAAAATGTATTATGACCCATTTTTACGTTGTTGGCATTTGAATTTCAATTTGGGTATTTTTCATTAAATAAGACATTACCCCCTCCTTTCCCCACCTGCGTTGAACTTTTGGCTGAGTTCTTGGGCTCCTGGAGTGTCCTGATGATCTTTTTTTTAAAAAAAAAAAAAAACCCAGGGCCCAGTAGTACCTACTAGGTAACAAGCATTTGATAAATATGTTGAGTGAATGAATAAATCATACTTTTAAGACAGCCTATCATCTCATGGACAGATAAAGACCCATTTCGGGGGTCTTATTTAGGAGACTCAGGAGCCCTGGTGGTGGAGTGGTTAAGCTCTCAGCTGCTAACCAAAAGGATGGCAGTTCGAATCCACGCTGCCTGGAAACACTATAGGGGCAGTTCTGCTCTGTCCTATAGGGTCACTATGAGTTGGAATCGACTCGACGGGAAAGGGTTTGGTTTTTGGTTTTATCATGGGGACTCTAGTTTAAGATTGGGGCAGTGGTGGTCCAGTGGTAGAATTCTCACCTTCCTTGAGGGAGACCCGGTTTTATTGCCAGCCAGTGTACCTCATGTACAGCCACCCTCTGTCTGTCAGTAGAGGCTTGCGTGTTGCTATGATGTTGAACAGGTTTCAGTGGGGCTTCCAGACTAAGATGGACTAGGAGGAAAGGCCTGGCAATCTACTTCTCAAAACCAGCCAGTGAAAACCCTGTGGATCCCAGTGGTGCACCTGCAGTTGATCATGGGGATGGCACAGGGACCACCTAGCCTTTCATTCTGTTGTGCCGGGATCACCATGAATCGGGCGCTGACGAGATGACGGCCAACAGCAATAGTTTAAGATTATGGCATATTAAGTCAATATTACCAGTTGTCCCTATAGGAATTAGAGAATAAGTCTCTGTTTGGAAATATCTAATATACTTGGTAGGCCATACAGAAGAAAGGCTCATCTGGATCAGACCGCCTCAGGCCCGCCAATTTTCTGTGACAATGCACAGGAATATAGATGTGGCTCATGATACCAAAACTCCAAATGAAATATTTGTAGCTTCCATTCTTAATCCCCTGTGGAGCTATAATACATGAATTTATTTGGATTCTTTTTTGAACTTGTTTACTTTTTCTGCCTTTTAGTCAGCATTCATTTAAATAGATACTTGAGTGAGTGAGTGAACATCTTGAGTTTTGCAAAGATGAATCAGACATAGATGCTACCTTTGAGGAGAGTATGTAGTCTACTTGGGAGACAAAATATGTAAATAAAAACTACGATACAAGGCTAGAAGAGAGGTAGAGATTAAATGTGATGGGAATCCAAGGGAAGGAGTGGTTACTTCCTGTCGATGTAGAGTGGGGATCTGAGAAAGTAGCAGCTGTATTCAGATATCCCATCTCAGCTGTGTACTTTTCATTCTATAGGCTTTACCCATTTCGTTTATATTATCTACCGGTTTCTTTAATGTCAGTTAAAGTTGCCCTAAATATCCTAATATTAAAAAAAAAAAAAAAGCAAGCATAAAAACCAAACTAAAACTTCTATACTGGTACTGAGTCAGAGACATACGTTGCCTTCGGTCATGGTTGACCATTTGTTCGTGTTCTCCAGGGCAATCTCCTGCTGCGTGGTGTGGAGTGTGATTTTGTGATTGTCCATCGCTTATGCCCATCTGTATTACCTTGACTATCACCATGATTTAGGCCTAGGCATTTTTTACTTTGACTTCTGTTGTGTATTATTATTGTTTTTCCTTTTTCATCCTTCTTGTTGACCACCTGGGACCACTTGAATGACACTTAACTATATTTGTTACAAGAGTGTGACAGAAGGGAGTCCCCAGACCTAGTGTCCTGTTTAAGACTGGAGATTGTTGGTGCTGGAGCATTGCTGTTTGTATTTCAACATTTCTTTGAGTCGAAGGAAAATTCTGGCATTGAAGTGAGTGTGTTGCCGACTCTCTTCTTGTTCTTTACCTCCTGATATGCTTCTGACCATTCCCAGTGACACAGGCAGGGTCAGTGAGAGGAGGCTGGCAGGATTACTGTGGTGTTTGGGAGTGGAGGTCCTGCAGGAAAGAATGAAATGGGGAGTATGCATTTCTTGTTGGTAAATTGCACTGCCACTCACAAGTTGCTGCTTTGTGTGTCTGTTCAGTTTGTACTCTTTGTGGTATTCTTGCAACATTGTATTTTTTATTCTTCATGCCTCATATGAAACTTTGCTCACCTCCTACTGTCCTTAACTTTGTCAAATTCTCTCTCAAAGAGTGTAGCTTTCCTGGTTGCTTTGGCAACCTGCCTCAAAAAGGAAAACCCATTTTAGGCTCATGTTTATCAAATCGTCAGTATTCCCAAAGATGAACCTGGTACTTGCCACTTCTTTTTAATGTTTCCCTGGACCTCTTATTTTGTCACAAAATATACGACTTGTTAGTGATAGAGTCCACTGTCCTTTGAAAAGTTTAATCAGTTTAGTTTGATTTTTTATACCACTGAGCAGTTGTATTTTTCTTTTTTTAAAAAGTGAATGTTATACATTCTTCAAATCTCTTGCTCAGATTTGTAAAATATATGTCATTTCTATACTACATTATGTATTAGCATAACACTTTATATATATATATTTTTTATAATGGTATTCCTAATAGTTGGAACAGGATTTGTTATTACAGTCATCTTTTAATGCTGGAAAAGCAATAACCACAAGTGGATAAAGGTTTAAGGACAAAGTAGGTGTAGAAATAGGGAATATCCAAATCTTGTTGCTATTTCCTGCCATAGAATTAAATATATGACTCTTATTTTGCTAGCATGATACTCCATCGCTTTAAAGCATTTAAAAGCCAAGATCATTGAAAGATAAAGTACAGTGTAATTTTAATGAAAGTTTTTATATTTAGGTAGCTGGATATTTTTATATCACCTCGAGACTCGTTAATACAATTTTCAATCATTTAAAAACTACTGAATAAAAATATTTTGGGACAGTCAGATGTTTCAAAAGGTGGACTCCCAGGACTTTGCAGAAGAGGTTCTCAGGACTGTGAAGGGGACTTTGATGAAGAGTGGTGGAGAGGCCCAACAGATAGTGCTTGGGTTTAGTCTGATGCAGAGAGGCCCTGGGCTGGCACAGGCTGCTGCCAGCTGTGCAGTCAGTAAGTAGAGCTTCTGGTTTGAAGTCTTGCCATTGACCCTTTAAAGTCGAACTGATTGGGGTGGACAGAGTCCTGATTACCTGCTAACGTCCAATTTGGACAGTGTTACACAGACACACACACACACCATTTTCCTACTTTTCTATTGATTTTTGCCCGCTAACCTTTTGTTTGGTGTGAAGTTGGTGGAGGCAGCCTTTCTAAATGGGAATAAAGAAGATGGCATTTTGGAGATGCTATTTTATTTTTTGTGAGTTCTTGTCAGGTTTTTAATTGGGAAATGTGTCTACCACTTACTGTTAGGTGATTTGTTTTCCAATTAAATGTTGTCTTCTTTCGAAGTTGGCCTTTAATAGCTGGCTTAATTGGGAAGACAAACTTGGGCTGTGACTTGAGGAAGCCTTATTGAAACCCCGGAGCAGAGCTTTTATAGACACACTCTGGTTACAGATGTCAGGGAGGTTTGAAGATAGGAGAAGGCTCACATGTGTATCTTCACAAAAGCTGGAATTTCAAAAACTTGGAGAATCCTTTATTGTAGACACCTGTTAAATTCCTTTTCTCCTTAGAGTATTTTGGTCAGCCAGTATTTAATTCAAAGTAAACTTTGTGGAAGGGGTTCAGGCTTTGATCAGGTCTTTGAACAAACAGCTTTGAGGTCTCCGGCACAGCGTGTGGCAGGGGAGGAACGCGGTCAGTCTGTTCGGAGCAGAGTTCTGGAAGGTGTGTTAGGAGTTAATGTTTCCATCACCACCTCCTGTCTTCATCTGAGCCCGTCTCATAGTGGTTTTAGGTTTTCTAGCTCTCTTTGCGCCCTAGGGAGTGTTGGCGTTGGTGATGTGATGCTGTTTGAAAGTTACTGCTAGACTACCTCGAGACGAAACACTTCATAAACTTTCAGGAAGTCTGATGGTATATGTGCACTTAAGAGGCAAAACAATTCCCATTTTCTGGCTGCATATGCAGAATTAATATCTTGGGAACATACACCTTGGTTTCTAACCTCATGTAATTTTTAACACTGAAATATCGTGAAGGCTTTGAGGCGTATAGTTTTAACGTTGAG